CACATACCGTTCCATATGCAGGTCTTTTTTATTTCCAACCAGCATAATGGGTATTCTGTGAAAGAAAGTTCAGAACTTCAGAACAGTTATAGTATACTGAACAAAGTACTAGTAACATGCCTGCAATGAAATGAGATGAAAGTGTCACTACTTACTGGACTTTTCCCACCATATCCAATAACTTGCCATGGATAACTTTTATCACTTCAAAACTGCAAAATAAAGGGATGAAGTCACACATGCACTCCAATGTTTATCCTTAATACCCAATACACAAGCAATTAAATGCATATGTAGGTTGCTGTGTTTAAAACTTACTCTATGTATAGTGGCAGAACTACAAAGATGCTGAAAGTCTTACCGATTTGTGTACAACAGACAAAATGGTCCTAGAAAAGACTAGTCTGTGCCTGCCATTACAGCCACCCCGGCTATGATACTTGCAGAAATAAATAACGTTACCCAGGACTGATGCATCTAACACAGGATCACTAAAAGCCCCTCCCACCTCCCATCTGGCATGTATCTGCAGTAAGATATTTAACTGCTACAGTCCAACAACTCTGGATGAGCATGTCAAATTAAAGCAGTTTCAAATAAAAAGTATTTAGTTAAGCACACTCCACCTTGAAAGAACACATTATTTTTTTAAGAACACTTAGTTCATATAGAATTCTTTAATTTTGTTTATGTGAAAGCCAAAAAGAAGCCTAAATTCTAATTTTCCTGTGGAAAGCGAGCAAATTGGTCTGCAAAATGGTATAGAAACAGTGGTTATTCAAATACTTGTCCATTCACCTACCAGTTACGTGAAGTTTGGATGACGGGAGATAAGCAGCAGTACTGTGAAATACCAAGAAGCCAGAAACCTCACTAACAAAATCCACTGCATTTGACATTTGGTACTTTCGAGAACAAGCTATAAACAGGGTTGAAGAGCAGATGTTGTGCTCCTCTAATTACAGTATGGAAAAAATGCTGGTACATGAAGTGCACAATTCAGATTTGCTTTGAGAGAGAGGCACAGGTTCACAGATGAGACATACAGCTATACAACGAAGTGACTGAAACTCTTCCAGCTTCCAAGGTTGCTAGCCTCAGGCAGTGTCTTGATTTGCACTGCATTTCAATTAGAACTGAAACTCTTAAAATAGAGCAGCACTCAAACACACTTCCAACTCAGACTTCTCAAAGAACTGGTCCTAAAACCACTATTCAAGCTATTTGAATCATTACAACTTCTCACCTCTGGAACAATAAATGCTACTATATTTAAAAAGGATTTTCTGTCAAGTAGGTCAATTTGTCTGACTTCAGTAGTAATTTTTGAGACCGAGTAGAACACAATACTTCTCCATATTCAGCTAACAGTTTTACTATATCCTATCAAGAAAACGAGTTCTTTGCAAACAAAAGCGTGACTTAGTCTGGCACAACTTACTATTAGTAACTCAAGTACAATACTACAGATTACATAAAAATGTGGAATCAATGAAAGGACTTTAGGGTTACAAAGAGCTTATGATGAAAAGGTATTAGTGAAATTCTGGTCTTCAGAACGTTTCCTGGACTTTCATTCTTGTAATTATTTCAAAAGTAAGAATTAAATGGAGGCTGGTTGTGACAAAGTTGAGAGGCATTGCTACATATCAAACTAGGCGACCCTGCAAACTGAAAGAGGAATAGAAATACTACAAAAAAAATTCTGCTACAGACCACAAAACTGTTTCTCAGTCTGAAGCAACAGGAAAGATCTAGCATACTAGCCACAGGATAACTGAATCACTAACACAATACAATCACTGTTTCCTTTCCACTATTAGGCCTGCTGTTCCCAGCACAGCTAGAAAAAGCCATGCCATGGCACAGCACCCCGGCAAGCGCTCACCTGGGGTTCCAGTGCACAATGATGCAAAGTGTTCTTGTTCAACTCAGGCTCTTCATTTCACAGTTCTGTGTATCTACTTATCTAGTATAGTTCACAAGCTCCGTTTTTAGTAAAAAGACTAAGAATAAACAGCCGATCTACGTTAATAGATCAAGGTGGAAACCAAAAACGAAGTGCTATTTAAACTCACACACAATTCTGACAAAGAAACAAGTTGCTAAGAACTGCCAAGAATGAAATTGGCTTGACCAGACGAATTTAATGCTCTAGAAAGCTTTCCAAATTAATAAGGCTAGAAGGAGCCAGAGGCAGGGTTTATGACAGATATTGACCAATCCAAAATCATAGAATCATTTAGGTTGGAAAAGACCTTTAAGATCATCCAGTCCAACCATTAACCTACACTACCAAGTCCACTCTAAACCAATCAAGGGTAGACTAGACTAAACCATATCCCAAAGTGCCACATCTACCTGTTTTTTGAACGCTTCCAGGGATGGGTACTCCACCACCTCTCTGGGCAGCCTGTTCCAATGCTTGACCACCCTTTCCGTAAAGAAATTTTTCCTAATATCCAATCTAAACCTCGCCTGATGCAGCTTGTCTACATTTCCTCTCATCCTATCGCTAACTACATGGGAGAAGAGCCCAACACCCACCTCACTACACCCTCCTTTCAGGTAGTTGTAGAGAGCGATAAGGTCTCCCCTCAGCCTCCTCTTCTCTAAGCTAAACAACCCCAGTTCCCTCAGCCGCTCCTGATAAGACTTGTGCTCCAGACCCTTCACCAGCCTTGTTGCCCTTCTCTGGACACGCTCCAGCACCTCAATGTCTTTCTTGTATTGAGGGGCCCAAAACTGGACACAGTATTCCAGGTGCGGAAAAGAGCATCATCAAGTCAAGTCATGAAACGGCAAGAGATCTGGAGACCGTAAGAGGTCCAGTTGCGACAAGCAAAATTGGGTTACAGCAAACAGCCCAACGTGTGAAATACAACGAAAAAAATTACTAGCTGTCAGATAAACGTGTTGCGCAAAATCATGGAACCTAGCAAGATACAAAATTGGAATTCAATTAAGCTGAACTAGAGCAAAAGCCTTCCAGTAACCTTGCTGCTAAGAGCCTGGGAATATGAAAAATATAGGGCGCTAGCTTTTACTCAAGTCCCATTTAAACTTCCTACTGGAGGTTAGCAGGGAAGATGGTAATTTTAAAAAAGGCATTTCTATTAAGTTTGCTGTCAAAGCTCTCACCCCTGCTGCCTCAATACTCAGATCATTATACACACTTTGACAGAAGTCAAGACAGATGGTGACTGTAATTTGATTGCCTGGGCAAGTCATCTAACCTACCAGAGTATTGTGGAAGATCCTTCCTATTGCCTACACTGTCTTGATACAGAACATAAGGAATGGAACAAGACAGGAACATTGATACTTTGAAATGTAAAAGGAAGAAACAAAAAACTTGGGATAAACAGATCAAGACTAAAATACTGATGAAAACACTATCTACCTACACTCTTAACATACTGTGTCCGGTTAGTATTTCACCACAATTTGGTTTCTATTTTAACTGATTGAATGCTACCGCAGAAAACAGATTTTCATTTCCTTATCTGGGCTGCTAAGCTCAAGACATCATAATGCAACAACTGGAGCGGCTGAAAAAGAGCATGTCCTTTAGCTGCCAAGCAGGGAACAGCACGAGCTGCAGAAGCCTCCAAGGATCTCTGCTGATTTTAGTCAAAAAACATTTTTGTCCTCACAGTACTACTTATCAATGAACATTTTTCTCTTCATTTTAGAAGTGCAGGATTGTCTAGCTAAGGCTGAGAATACTAACTCCTATTTCATAGAAGTTATTCATCACCAACAATGAAACTCTGATTAAAAAAAAAAAACCCCAACAAAAAACCACACCCCAAAAAAAAGGAGTTTGGTATTTTAGTATCTCTAGACACACATGAAAGCCTAACATCTGTTCCATCTCCTCCAGATCACATGTGCTTGCCCTTCTTTACTTCAGAACTAAAGATGGAAACCAAGAATGAAGGACTGCCAAAACCTGTTCAACATTAAAGACCTTGCAAGCAATGGAAATTTATAGCCAGACCGTATCCTTTCTTTCTGAACCACAGAAGAGCCAGCAGGCAAGTTGTTTTACCTGTATTTTATGGCGGTCTACTAAAGAGTACTTGAGAGGACCAGTTTTGTCTGCTTCAGAGAAAGAGACATGGAATGCTTCAGCATTTGTAAAAAGCTGATCAGCTTGCTTGCAAGTAGAAGGGAAGCATCAACTTCTACTTCAAGAGAGTGAAAGGCCTAAGGTCTTAATCATTTTACTCAAACAAAAATTAAAAAAAAAATAGGATTATTTTGGCTGTCATAACAAAGATGCTGTACAATACTAGAAAATTAAGAATGACCAGTATTTAAACAAAGCAAGGCAACCAGATGGAAGGGACAAAATAATGGAAGATGACAAAACCTTATGAAGGCTGAGATGCTTCTTGCAAGTAAATGACTCCAGCTACGATGCACTCTGTCCTCACATCAGAATGGACTGCAGCCAACAGCAAGGACGAAACAGATACTCTGGGAAATTTTTCAAATAATGTATTTGCTGCAGCATGGCAAGAGTGAGTCTACAGGTCAGAAGTCATATATTGATATATTGCTGTTTATATGAAAGTTTCTGATGGTTAACCAGAACAATCCAAACCAAGAAGTCCAAGAAATCTCAGTACTGTAACATGCTACAAGGCTGAGAGACCAATCTAGCAACTAATTCCACACTTCAAATAAATACAAACCGAAAAGGCACTGCTCATTTCAGTTCTCCTTTGTATCTGATGCTAAAGCAATGAACTCTACTTATTCTTTAAATCATTCTATGTACTTTTACTTACACCTCAAAACAATGTAGTTCAGCACTGTCCGATTTCTTACATGGTACCTTGCATATTAGTCTGTTAATTATCTGTGACATTTAGATCTGAGGGGAAATTGCTGAAAAACCCATTAATTTTTATTTCCATTATACTTCTAAGGGAGAGAGAGATTCAATGAATTAAACACATGTAAAGAAAATATAGCAGAGGCAGGACCTGAACCAGAAGAACACAACAGATTTTATTACCTTTTTATCGACGTGACTGAATAAACAAGAATGTAGCCATTGATGTCTATGGAGTACGTCTGAGGAAATATGGAGTATTCATCCTGTAGAAGGAATATTTGCATTTAAAATTACTTACTGCCACAGTTCAGAACTTGATGCTAGCATATCACCAGCAGTTAAGTTGGTTTATTTGTAAGACATGAGGTGCAGAACCGTTTTGTACAGGTAGTGCTTTCAGAATTACGTCTTTTCATCACAATGCCAGATGTGGAATCTTTACCAAATTAAGAGAAAGCTGAGTCAGTCTGTGTACTCTAAAATTTAATCTACATATTTTTTGGTTTATTCCCTCTAAGACTATGGATCAGCTAAAGCTATTCCCAATCCTCTTATCCTGCTTAATTATCAGTTTGTATTAGTACAAAACATCCACTCTGTCCTACCACTAATTAGCAATTACGTCTCTTATCTTGCTAGCGATATGTTTCAAATTCCTAATTTCAACAGCTGATGACAGGATTTAGCAGTTCGTCATTTCAAGTGATGCTGATCACATCTAAATTACCTACGGGGTCTGTTAGGAAATGAATAACTGTGGCTTACCAACTAACACTTATCAAGTATAGATGCAAGAAATACAGTTATTAGTTGCTTTTTGACAACTAGAAGTTTACATTATATGGCAAGTGTTTAATTAAAAAAAAAAAAGCAACCAACCACAAAACAACAGAAACTTGAACACTGACTTTATTACCCCTGTAGAAAAGGAACTGACCAAATAGATAAATGAAACAGACTTACATATCGCAGGAAATGCAACACAAATACTATGAATCCCATGTTAAAAATATAAATTGTTCTAACAGATGTTCCCAGATGTCTAACAGATGTCCCAACATTTCATTTTGACAAGAGCCATACTTCTTAAAGTATGAGTTCTCAAATTTTTAAACCTATGCTTCTTAAGATGTTAATTTTAGCTTAAGATCACATAACCTCTGTACATTGTCATGACTGAACAGATGGAGCAGTGCAATCACACAGCTTAAATCTAGACAGCCAAAAGGAATCAAACCTCCCTAACTGGCAAATGAGGAAAAACCCTTTATAAAATCAACTTCACAGATTCAGCCAAAAAGTTTGAAAGCACAACACTTGACAAAAGATGCCCTTATTTGCCTTTATTGCTACACACTGAGGGCGGTCCTCCCCCATCTTCACTGAAATGCCAAACTGCCACTTCAGTTGGCCGTGTAATCCCAAAGTCAATACAGAAGGGATCTGACCTAGCCTGCGTGTAAAACAGGTGAAAGTGCAACTCTGTAGTTGTTTGACTTTACCCAGAGTTTCTCAGGATTGCCCCAGCTGGAATTTGTTGTTAGGTAAGACTTTCTTTTGCGCTCCTCTTCTGTGATCCTGTACCAAGACTCCTGTTTAACTGAACTACGCAAATCTGAATAGATAACCATGAAAGGTAAAGGCATGGGACAGAGGAGGAGTACCAAGAAAAATCAGTACCATAACCTCAACTGTTTCTAATTCATTACTTAATTTTTAGCTTGCTATGGGAAGGAAGAAAAGCTGCTACGCTTCCTGGAACCTGTGGGTCAGATTAAGAACTTTGTCAAGCAAGAAAACAACATAGCTATAACTTCTCAAGTCATAGCCAAGTTTTCAAGTATATAACAAATCTACAATATAATCCTTACTATGCTGTACGCATGAACATTCCCTATGGATCATTAGGCAAGACAGACTTGTGAAAGAAATCTGTTCAAGCCACACCATCCATAACCCAACATCATCTCTCCCCTCTAACCCTGTGAGCCAGAACTGAAAGTTCAAGACATTCACAGGAAGAATCAAATCTGAAAATAATCACAGTCTGGGAAGGAAATTATTTTGGTTTTACAATACTGTACAACATTAAATCTACCCCGAAAGTAAACCTCAGCAATATGTTAACAGTGAAGGTACACTGCCTTCCCAGGCCGTCATTTCTTCCTCAAAAAGAAATTTTACTTTTATCTCTACGCTACAATGGAGATGTAAGGCAAGCACACTTACATTGGCACAAAGTGAAACCTACGGAGCTCACTCTGCTGCTCACACCTCACAGCCAGCCCATCTCAACCCTGCTCTCCTCTGCAGAATATTCCCCAAAGAACAATCTATCCCAGCACGTGTCACCAGTGTCATGTTTTTAATGACTTCAGACACCTCTGATGGATTATAAGTGGATACAGTGTTGTTGATTGGTACCACAAGCTGACACCATATAAATACAGCATGGTTATTCTTAAGTCATGTAGTTCTCTTCAAAGAAAGCAATCAAACATACCTAGAAGGTTACAACCCTTCTGAATAGTGTCCCAGCTATGAGCAAGTGTCCCGCAGCTTTAAAGTCTTAAGTACTGGCAACATCTTTTACAACACTAAGATTGTTTAACACTACTCATAGTTTGGAAAGACCCAGAGGCATAATATCAGAACTCACAGAAGGTAAGAACATGTAAGCAATAAAAAGTTTAAGATAAAAATACAAGGGTTTAACAGCCTGTTTTCTGGGTGGTGTTTTGTTTTGTTGTTTGTCTTGTTTGGTTTTTTTTGTTTGTTTGTTTGGTTGGTGTGTCCTGCCCCCCACCCTTCTCCACCCCCCGCCTTTTTAATACAGTGTCTTTCAAAAAGATGGGTCACTCCTGTGCATGGAACGTGCACTGCAAGTTCAGCCAAGCAGCACTATATAATGAACACCTGTAGTTCATGAAGCTACTGACCATGCCACAGGACACGTGTTCACTGTCTCCTCCTGCACTCCCCGTCACTACACGAAGCTCAGAAGCATGCACGAATCATTACTTCAAAATGTAAACAACCCGCAGTAGTTTATTGGTAGGCCAGTAACTACTACCTATATGCATTTCTCTCTACTCCCCATGACTACTTCATAGATACAAGTCATGGTGGTGTAGCTGGAGCACACAAACAGCAAAAAGTCATGAAAAGCTTCTCCATGGTTTATTGAAGTGACATTTTCCATCTAAAGCAAGACTGCTAGTTTAGTCCATAAATATGAAGCAAGCTACTTATGAACTTTCGGTACATCAGAGTTAGGGCAGTTCCGTCTTCACTTTTGTAGGCATACATTCAATAGACAGGAGGAAAAAAACACCCCCACCCCCAAACCAAAAACTAACAAAACTGTTTAAATAAACACTACAGAAACATTGCTCTTTAGTGACTAAATGACAAGGCAGAATAATTTATGCTAAACTTCAGCTTTGAGCCCATGGTGGCTACCAACTTAGCTCTACAGGAGTATGAATACTTGACTTAACTCTGAAGAAAGATGCAAAGAAAGATAACTTACTTGGCCAGCAGTGTCAACGAGCTGAAGATGATATTCTTGGCCATTTACTGTGATCAGTTTTGTAAAAGCTAGAACAAATAAGAAATACATACACATTTCAGAATTATAAACAAGGAAGGGATCAGAAGTCACTCATCTATGCCACCATCAGCCAAGGCACCAAGAAAAAGAACTTCAGTTATAGGCATTGAAGTAGCAGTAAAAGGCTACATCAGGTGGGTGTATTCTTAACTACCATATTACAGGCAAGAAAACTCAGAAATTTCCTTCAAAATTTCAGATTTCAGAAGATTCTCACATTGGATGCATCAGCTTCTCCTTTACTTAGAAATGCATGCAAAAAGCCTTTTTACTCTTTCCTTCCAAGAGACTTCCAGGCAACCGTAATTTGTGGTAACACAAGACACTTAAATACAATTAGCATCAAAGCTAACTTTGAACTTACTATAGGATATTTTCCTCCTTAGTTTCCAAGCAGTTTAGCAAAATCGATTTCCTAAATGTAAATACCATGAGGTAAATGATCCGGATTAAAAAAAACCTCTTTGAGGGCTAAACCACACACAGCCTAACTTACGAATACACTAAACCTACATAATGAGAATGTAGCTAGAAGCTCACCACGTCGCTACCAGCCTATCTAGCCCTCAGTCAGGAAGTACATTCAGTCCCTGAAAGCGATGAGCATTGCTTCTCTTCCTTGGATTCATGAAATGCCAACGCACTGTGAGCTGAAGAATCTCACTCAGTGTTTGTATTATGCAACTGCAAAAGCAAACAGTGTCACAGCTCCTGTAGGAATAATGTACTACCGAGCACTACATGTACCAACCAGAGCACACAAACCTGGCTTGAGCTTCACTCTGGCCTTAGTGTTGTGCTCAAGACACCATTCCTGGACAGTACTGATATTGAGTAAAGTTTGCGTTGTCCTCTGGTTGAGGTGGTTTTCCCAAATACTAACAGTCCTAAGAAGCTTCATCTTTCATTGCAGTGATGAGCAGGGAAATACCTAGCACTGCAGTGACCTGCTCCTCATACTCTGAATTGTCCAACAGCTTCCCAAAGCTGCAGAGTTGAATGTTCTCGATCCCGCTGCGCAGTATCCTGCCTACGCCTTCTGGGTTCTGTACAGGGTCTCCTAGAAGCTGATGTTTGCCAACTTTCCTCCTCCCCGCCAATGCTCGTTGCCCCGTCAAGTCTCTACAATGTGAGTATTATCTTGAATAAGTGGGCTGAAATATCTGAAACTGGAGGTTTCAGCCCACCTAGTGAAATCAAAGCACCTCTTTTAAAAAAAAGGAATAATTCAAACAGCAAAGTCAAACTAATGCAGAGTGTCTAAATAAACAGTGTAAAGCGTACCTACAGTTTCCATTACGATACTGACAATTTGAAATGGAGCCTCAAAGAGAGAGCTCCTACCTTACCCTGTCTATCCCCTAAGAATGCTGCTTTAGCACACGTGCATGCCAGCTGCTATAAGTCACTGTCTGGATGCTGTTGTCATCGCTGCACAAAATTTTAGGGTTATGAAGCAAGAATCCACAACAACTTTTTGCCTTGGATGAATATTGTGGTGGGGACAGAAGCAAACATTTGTTTGAACAGATGTTAATGTGCAGCGTTGCTATATACAGTATCACTGCCTCAAATCAGAGGGAAAACAGACTCATCTGGAGAGGTGCTGCATTAACAGGCATATTAAAAGTAACAGTCACTAGTCTTGACACTTCACATACACATCAAAGCACTCTGCAATCAAAGTAGCTTCAAGAGCCTCATGAAGTTAATATTTAAAAAGGGACAGAGACAGATGGCAGCTTTTTCAGACTATTCTAGAAGCCTAGAATAGACCCAAAGACATCATCATCATCAGTACTGGAAGCAGAGTGTGACAGAGCCAGGGGAAGGGAAACAGTGGAGGAGTCACCGCAGACTGGGTGAGGAGAACTGTTAGTTCAGTGCAGAGGCTTGTAGCACTAGGAACAGCCCACCGCAAGAACACAAATCTGCTTTGATGCAGTCGTAATTAATGACTCCCATTTCTTTGCTAGAGCTTTTTTAAAATACTCCTAGTAAGAATTTTGTCTTGGGAAAAACCTGCAGCTCTATTAAATGTGATCAGTGATCCACAGGTCCCCTTGATCCAGAGGAAGTCTTCACTTCCAATTCCATCACCCACCATCCTGGGACGCATTGCCTTCTGCTGTGCCCATCAGCAAGACAAACAACTGGTAATACGATCACGACACAGTATGGCTCTTCCTGGTACGCCAAGGGCAGGCTTCAGCAGACCTGAACAATCTCTGCAGTCCTTGTCGTAACATGAGCATCTGCAAAACGCTGCTCATCAGCTGAAACATGGATGTTGTAGCTCCATGAAGCACACGGATCTCAGAACAGGACATGCTCACAGCTTGCAATGCATAACTCAAGTGTAGCTATCTGAGGAAAGCTGCAATCCCCACCTTCACCTACAACATCTAGTCCTGATGCATTGCTGAAACTTGGAGAATTTGGTGCTGCAGTGAACAGCACAGCATCAAACAGATCTATGTGTACAGTTCAGGGTGCAGCAGTCAACAGCTGTGTTGCAAAGAACTAAAGCCGTTTTGCTGTCAAAGAAAGTCCCGGTAAAATTACAAGCAGAGTGCAGCCCTGAATGCTGCCACAGTTCAGCAGAACTGTAACTTAGGCAGCAACTCCATCAGCTGCTGATCATCATTACCCTAAGATCAAGTATATTTGAATTAGACTAACATGAATGAAATGATTTCCATATGCAACTCAAAAGACAACTGCTGTGAAAACAAGACTTTATGATAAGAAATCAGTACCAGGCATATGAATGCAGACTTTCAGATCAATAGTGCCACCGAGTAAAGGTACGAGAGTGGTATAACATTATGCCCACAGAGCTACTGGCTGGCAGCTAAATACAACCACCTCGTAAGGGTTCCTCAGTTACTACCTTCTGCATCCCTTTCTACTTGTCTTCATTCCAAAGTCAATGCCTATCGCTAATCTGCCAGAACATCTTTTACAACACTGAGATGTGTAATGCAACAGAGCTATTTTTAATTTTTCTCAGAAGCCTCATTTCCACCCCTTGAGAAGGCTGCTCATCGGTAACTCCTGGGAAGAAGCATACTTCACCCTTCCAATACAGCCGCCATGACATGCATGGAAGAAGTTTAGCCTTAAAAATGCTTCTAGCAGACCTGTCTGAACCTGCAGGTATCCCCTCCGCAACTACTAGGGTGCCTCCAGCCCCCTCCCCCTTTCTAATATGCTTCTACTCACAACTGTATTAAAAAACATGGGATGGAGGTAGGAAGCCCTTGGGGAAAGATTGTTCCTTCTCTTAGGAAGCTACTGAGCCGGTTCAGGGGAGAAAGGAAGACACAGAGCACGGCACAGTGCTAGAAGCCTCTCCAAAACTGCAAGGAAAAGCAGAAAGCAGCCAGGCAGGCCTCAGAGGAGCTGGGAGGAAACATTTTTGAGACTCGGGCAGTCAAGTCAGCTTTTCTGCAACACAAAATCACTGAATTAATGATAACCAAAGACATCCCTGCAAAGATGGGGGTGGGGGGAGTTCTGTGCATAACTGCATTATCTATTCCGCCTGACCTATTTGCTTTGAGTTCCAAATTAAGATTCTAGCTTTTATTCCATTAAATTTTTTTGAGTTTTAAATTGTTCTGCTCTTAGCTCATCTGAACTAGTCTGCTTTCAGAGCCCCATCCAGCTCAGTGTCCACACAGACTCTCTCCAGACACTCCTGCTCTGCAAGCATCTTCCTTCCCTTTCCAACACTCCTGCGGGTAATTGTTCCACTAGTTTCTCAACCTGTCTGTCTTGAGAATAACCACCCATCGTCATGTCGCTCCTGTTGGGACATTCAGAAATGGAAATTCTATTTTGCTAAGCGATTAACTCTCACCTCCGCTGCTGCCACAAAATGCTACAAGTTACTCTTCCTGATACACAAGTTTAGTAGAAGCAACTAAATTCAGCATGCTCGTTAACTTAAACAAACACACTTTTCTGGTTCTAATGCAATATAAGCAAAGGAAAGGGTGAAAAGCAGCAGTGAAGTGGTGTTGACTTTGGTAGCAAACACTAAGTGAAACCTGATGCAGCTTATTTTCCCTTTACCACTTCCAAAGAAGGTAGAGATTTTATTTTATACTGGAAAAATGAAACTACTAGAACATCAGGTCTTATTCCTATTGTTCAAAGCTTATATGCTATGCGACTTGTTCCTGTAAAGAGCTTAACTATAGCTTGCTTTCTATACAATTTAGCTCTAGACTCAATTTTTTCTGCAAGTTTTATTTGAAGACAAAAACTACAAAGATTAAGCTACTAGCAGTATTGCAGCTTTCTACCCTTTCATCAGTGCTGGTAGAATACTGCAATGAATTACCAGTAATAATTTTCTGGAGACAAACAGAAATCACATAGGCCAGACTATTCTTTAGCCTGTATTTTTTACACTTCCAAGTTTTGTGACACTAAAGTAGGCCCAGTCACTAGATGAAACTGAAAATGTTTTATAACCTGCTATAAAGCGCTGGAAAAATGCAACATTCTCCAACACCACCCCGAGTACGGGAACCTGGACTTTTCAACCCCTTTTGCCAGCACTGTCAACCAGATTTGAAATTACAAGCTAGGAAAACAATAAAAGAGTTGATTACATACTTTGTGTCTTATGACCCTGCAGAGAATCAGAAACATACAGTTGGGAGTGTCAAGAGACTGGACTGATCAAAGATTTGTATTTAGAAATAGCATTTTAAAAAGATCAAGAACTTAGGTCAAAAGAATTTATTTTATACTAATCCCATCAAACCTAGTGTCACATGTTTTTCATAAAAGAAAAAAAAAAGATACCTTCAATATATTATAAATTTTAGTGGTAAGTTTGCAAGTGTTATCTCTTCCGTTCTTCACAGAAGCATTTTTAAAACATTCACTCCATCAGGCCTTACAGGGCTTAAGGATGGGACAGACTTCCTACTGTTTTGAACCTCAGGGCACATCATCTACGTTTTCAATCCCTACTTCCCAGCAAAGTATTCTGATGCAAGAATCTCTCTACCTTTCAGAAAGCAAATTCCTCCAGCCATGCTGCAGATCACAAGGCTTTCACCAAATGAATAATGCTGTTTGTTTTCCAAACAAGAAATCAAGTGAAAAGTTAAGCCTTTTCAAGATGCCCCAGCCCAACAAAGTGTTCATGGCCATGACATGCTCAATGTTTAGAATTCAGATCAAGCAAGCGGTACAGACTACAAGAGTCAAATAAGAGCAGAATGCATCCAGAGTGTATTTTCATATAGTTAAGAAATGCTACCAGTGCGAGACATACAGCTACAGAGTTACTAAGAGCAGTTACAGACAATAGGTTTCTGTGGACAGGAAGAGCTTGTAAAGGATGAAACATGCCAACCTCGTACCAAGGTGTCAAAACCCTAAACCAAGATACAGGCTCAGTATTTTGGAGAGATTTTGACCCCATGTCTCTCAAGCTTTATTCATTCCCACACACCTGCATAAAACTAAAAGATTACTTTAAATAATTTGCATTTATATAGCACAGACAGTGAAAAATAGCCTGTCCCAACTGATATTAAGATTTTAAATATAGAAACTTAATCCCCAATATTTTGTTAGCAGCTTTAATTCAAAACAAACATTATTTATAATTCTAACAAAGCAAAAAGGGATGATGGAAAGTGTTAATATTAATGACATCTGTATAAGGACTAACAATCATTCAAGTCAAGGGGCAAATTACCCACCCTGACTCGCTAAAGCAAATTTAGAGCGTCTCAAAAAGTAGCGTTTGAATTTTAGTTCTAAGCAATAAAATAATCCAGAGTAAAATATCCTGATAGCTACTGATTTGTAATTATTACCCCATATACATATCCAAAAGAAACCTTGTTCTGATTACTTCATTCAAACTTCGAGTATCACATAGGGTTAACGTCCTACTACACCAGTTCAAAACAGTAAAAATGCGTGCTGCCACTGCATTTCAGAAGTCATTAAAACACAAGAACTCCAGGGTTACAATCACAATATCAAAGTTTTATTTGCCACAATTAAAATGATCCAATGTGATCAAGTTACTCAGCCTAGTGCCACAGTTGCTCAAGTACTTTATGACCACTGCTAGCTCAGAAAGAGGTGGTTGGATTGTAATGAATACTGGGTACCTCGCCTCTGAAGTGACTTGTTGCTCTTGGCAGCATTTTTAGTACCGGCATCTTTACTTACCCCCTATGCTACCTATCCACAAGGGCACCAATATTAAAAAAACTGCCAAGAGAAAAGAGACACTTAAGAAGTCAGTTACGCAGTATTTGTGGCAAGCTAATTGTGTACCAGGCTTGTTATCAAGCAGTTGGAAATGAGTAATTTTAAAGATTATCATGTTGTCATGGCCACAGCATGTCTACCTTCTAAGGTACTCATTTGTTCCTGACTGGTATTGCTGGCTTTGTGTTCATCTGGATATACTGATCAAATGAGACATTTGAGACTTTGGAATACTTGCATATAGTGGCACATTTTCCTATAGGTATGACATACTTAGTTTGAAGTGCCCCGACTATATTAGGGGAACCAGATGTCCAATAACACACATATGACACAAGAAGGAGATGCATTTTAACCAGATTGATTAGGTTTTACTTCATTCAGCATTAAGACAGTTTAGCTGTTTGGAGAAACATGCACACAGTGATTTCCATGCTGCAATACTGTAAGCTTGGTAAGCATTGGTTTAAAAGATTAATAAAACAGTTAATTAATTAGCTTTAATGTTAAAATGTAAATGCCCATATAAGTAATACATATAACCACAATGGCTTCTGGTAAAAGTTAGTTAGGTACAGCAGAACAACGGCTTGTCAGTTGTTTACTTACTGTTCTCTATGGTTGGATCATATGAATCAACAAACTGTCCTTCCACAAACTGAATCGTCAGTGAAGATTTTCCTGTAAAGCAAAGAAAAGATAATTTGTATTAAAACAAGTCTTCAGGCTGTTACTTACTAGTAGATACACTGATGTTTTTATAAAAGCCAATATGAGCTTTGTATGGTTCATTTAAACATCTATACATGACAACTGACCTATTTTTAAATTAAGTGCCTATTCCTAGTAACTGGGTCTCCTGAACATACAAAAAGTAGTACAAGAGCTACTCGGCACGTGTTCTGCTTTTGTTTTAACACAGCATAATTTAAGTGCCTCCTCCAGTTTAAAACAAATCCAAAAGTAGCAGTGTCCAATCCTCATAACGCTAAATTTAAGAAACTGTTATACTTGGAAGGTTTTTCTTCAAGAAGCAAGAAAAACTAGAAATAATTTTCAGTCATCGCACAGAAAACTTGGAACTTGGATGGAATTAACCAAATTTGGTTTGACTAGGAGATTGGACATCTTTCCCATGACAAAAGGATGAATTCAAAATTCTTGAGCTCAATATACTCTCCTCTTCTATCAATCCTCTTAATGCAACACTACAACAGACTGGTGGATGCTGTATTTTAAGCATAGTGATCGAGTGGGCATCATTGGATTTATTCTTTTGAAAGCAATTTAACTGCTACTTTTGCGGATGTTCCCCATTTCAGTTATGCTGATCTGATCATACACCTCCCAATAAAGAGTAATGCAAAATGTTGCACTAAGTAGCAGATTGGAAAAAATGAAGACTAATTTAGTCTTGAAAGATTTTACAAGATGGTAAAAGCGAATCACATACACTGACCATAAAAAGCACCTTTAAAACTCTGCAACTGAAGACTTTTCAAAGCATTACTGAAGTCCTGACACAATTTCCATTACAGCATGTCTTCTACATTTGGGAATCTACTAGATCCTATTACATTATGTTTACTGGACAAATACACTCTTATGAAGATTGCCAAGTGCATTAGCTGCTTTTGGACATGAGCATATTCTTCATGCTCTTTTATACTCTTCTCGTCGGCAAGAAGCATGAACAAAATATGACCTCAAATTAAAATTCAGACTGAAGACCATCCTACTCAATGGAAGCCTTTCAATGACATCATAAGTAACCAATGTTGTGGATGAACTAGTTTATAGTGAAACTATTTTCAAGAACTAACTGCTTTGGACTTCCAGTGCTTAGACCACACTATGTTTATACTTTGCTGTAGAAAATGTTCTTTCCTAAGCATTCCTTCAGGAGATGTTTAAAAAAATAGTTTTCTACCTCCAGCCCCCCCCCCCCATCTTGCTTCATCACACAACACTCTTGACTTGTTCACATTTGACTTTTTATTATTATCAGCATACTTAGCAAGTCATTTTGTTAAAGACACTCTAAAAAAACCCTGCAAGCCAGACAAAGTAGAAGGATGAAAGCGATGCAAGGGAAGTTTGGCTTAATATGTATAATTATATGTGCAGTCAATTCCTTCAGTAACTGCAACACTTCCAGGATTTATTTCTCCAGGAGGAAGGAAGAAAATGTTACACAAGCAGCATCATTTGGGGATTTTCCAACAGCCATAACCTTTAATCACTGCCCAGCTCTGCCATACTTATCCCTTTGCTGTCTCATATCAATCATTCCAGTTTATTCAAGATACAATGCTAAAACCCCCAGACAAACTCCCGACAGACCAACCAGCACACAACCTTTTAAGAGCTGCTTTTTCTCAAATCTATTTCTTGGATACCATTTCCCGATATATCTAACAGTGCAACTAAAGGTGTCATACTCACTGTGCATGAGTTTACAGTGAACACTGCACTTCAAGCTGTTGCTCTGGCAAGAAGGGGGTGGGGGGGAAGCAACCACGCACATCTGAAATCATCCTAATAAGGACAGACTTAGAACTGAGATTATGCATCCCAGCAACTTTCTCAAACTGTGTATTTTGGACACCATTTAGAAACTGAATGAACTTTCAAGCTATTTCTTCTTCAGCTATAAGCTTATGAAGTTGCTACTCAGAGTTCATGCTTCCATATTCTTTGCCAATACCAGCACACAAAGCACTCTGTTTTAAAACAAAGTTAACTATTCCTGTATTACGCTGTTATATATCTTCAAGATAGGAAGAGCTAAGTTAAGCACAGATCATCATCGAACATTTTTCCTCTCAAGAAGGATTCTAAACTAACTGAAAGACTTGACTGCTACCGTCTGTGCTAAGTCCGGAAACGGAATACTAGAAAGAAGTCAGAGCCAACAGAAAATGCTGCATTTAACATCCAGCTGTATTAATTACTGCTTTCCTCCTAACAGTGAAAGAAGAGGAAACAAAACCAGACAAAACCAGTATTCCAACACTCTCCTCCTAAATTCCTCCAAGCTTCGTAACAAGCCTTCCAGTAATGATGTGTTTGCGATCACAAGAGGATGCCTGCTTTCCTAGATGAGCCACAGGGAAGCTCTCCAGTCTTGGATTCAGCCACGTACCCCCTGGGGGTAAGTGCATGCAACAGTATCCCACTAAAGCAAGGCTTCCAAAGGGGACACAAGAAATTTAAAACCTAAGTTATTAACACCCCACTGCCTTGTCTCAGCCCATGCCCAGGAAGCATGCAGGACCATGTCAACAACAGCTTGGCTTGAACTTTGTCCCACAGGTTTTATTCCAGGCCTTTGACCTATGCTCGTGGCCAGAGAGGAAAATTAAGTTGACAATTTAGCTCCTATCACTTCTTTCCCCGGAAAGATCAGGCAACTTTTTCAGAGAGAATTACAACATAAACATAACATCCGTAAGGCAGGGGCCAAGCAACTGCACACAACTGTGTTTACTGATGTGCTAACTCCATCTCGGAGCACTGCAGGGAGGAGGACGTAGGGAGACACTGCGGTCTAGACGTGCATACGTTGCTAGCACGCTTCAGCCTAAAAGGACGACAGAGCCTGACACCAGTAGCAAAGATCTGATTAACTGAATAATTACTCAAGGGTGTGTACCCCAAAAAAGGCTCAGCTCTAGTATGCCCTCATTTGGAACAAATGTCAGACTTTTTTTTAGTTTGCTAATCTTTGCCTTGTAGCATCCTCCACACTGGTACTTTTAGTGTACCCACTGTCCTCAAGTTTTAAGAAAATAAACATCTGTTGAGAACAAAAGGAGAAGTGTCATGAGTGGAAGCAAGGCCAGGTCTGCTGCAAGCAGTTCACTAAATTGATGGAGACCTGTGATTTTAAGATGAAAAAGCATTTGCAGAATCTTACTGGAGAAGATTATGGTTTAACCTTCTGACTCTGTTCAGAATCGGAGAGCTCAAAATGACTATGAAGAAATAAATTAATCAAATTAAGGGCAACATCAGTGGAGGGCAACAGGATGACTCCTCCAGCTGTACTTGCTATGGTAGCTCAAAGCACCACATACTCTATGGCAGAGGAGTTGTAAGCAAAATCCTCCAAGTGAACTGACTCTCCCTCTCCCTGGAGGAACAGGACAGAAGGTAAGGGTTGGGAGGAATGGCTTTTACAAGTGTTTAGAATACAAAAAAGGTGGCCAAAAGCTCAAGTTGTCCAGAAGTGCCAAAAGGGTATTTGTATACACAATTCATTATTTATGATATTATGCAGGAGTGGTGAAGAAAAGAGTTTTCCACTGTCAAAACAGATGAGGAACAGGTTTTCAGACAGAAAGGCATTTCAAAAAATAAAGCTGTCATATTTCTGTTCATACAATAGAGCACTCGCTACATAAAATGGCACATCCCATAAACACTCTGACTAGTGCAGTCATAGCACATCAGTTTCAAATGCCATTGCAATTGTCAAGGCAAAACAATTGCCAAATTGAATTTTTACTCATCGTTTTACTTCTTGGACAAGAGCTGTGGTATTTAATCTAGCCTTAAAATTCAAGCTTTAGAATACCAGAGAGTTTACCAAGAAGCTGAGTAACCGAGCATGGGTGGGCTCACGAACAGCTGGCCTCCCCAAAGAGGCCATGCCCTCTCATCGGTGCACCACCACTTGCCTGCCGTCCCCATCCCACAGCCTTATTCTCCTTGCAACAGGCAGAGGGAAAGCCCAGATGAAATTCTCATCTTCAGCCAACTCCCCCCGCCCCAAACCCAGGAGATAGAAATGATGCAACTGGCCAGTGAGCAAGTCAAACAACAGCTCCACAAGCAAGGCATTGTGCAAGCTCGATTCTGCAGCTGCCCTCTAACGTGGCATCTCCACGATGACAGCCGCTGGCAGCACCGTGCAGTTTATCTCAACAGGAAGAATTTCTCAATACTCAAAATCGTCTGCACAAGCAATCAGTAAACAGTTTGACAGGTCAAGAACAACAACAACTGAAGAGTTTCAATTCTCCATTCTGTTAGGATTTTAGATGCATAGTTTCTTTAACCCATCTTTTCCCATTGAAACACCTGCTTATGTACTTTGCTTAATTATTAAACACTTAACAGCCGGCAGCTTCTAATCCACTCCTACCACAAGCCTAGCATCGTACCTAAGTTAGTCTCTACGTAGATCTACTCAATCTAGTTTAGGTTTTGTCACAAACTAGTTTAGGTTTATGTCACAAAAGGGTTCAAGGAATTTCATAACAAAATGCTGTTAGTCATATCAAATTAGATAAGACTCATTGCGTACCCAACTTTGGATACCTCACACGGAGCTATGCTCAACTTACTATGCTTCACAGAGATTAAGTTTTCATACTGGAAGTTACACTCGATTTAACTTGAACGTTGGGATCTTTATCTTCTTTAATTCAGAATACCAAGATGCACAAAATGGAGACACCAGCATTCCCACAGTGCAAATTATCTATTTGTCCTCAGAGCACAGAAAGGGACAGAACAACTTCTTGGAGCAGATGGAGATTTAACTGGGTAGCAAAGGGAATTATAGCATCACTCTTCGACAAAAATCTTTTCACAAGATAGCAGATGATCTCAGAACCCATCACTAGCTCAGCATTCATCTCAGGCTTCATCACCAGCAACTTTCTATGGTTAATTAAGATTTTTTTTCCCCCAGGTACTAATTATGACTACATAGTTGCTATTTTGCTGTCCACTGTGATGTAGTTCAGTGAATCATTCTAATGACTATAAAAATGATACATCTGGGTCAATAAAGAATTCTGTTTCTAAACCTCTGGAGACAGTGATACAATGAGTAGTTTGTGTTTTACTCAGATGCAACTTAATTCTACTATTAGACCTCATTATCATGAGGAATTATCACTTAAAAACATCTACTTTGAGATGTAGTTTAATTCATTTTGTAGTGATTTCCTTGTGACGTCAACATTGTGACACCAGGATTAAATTATTTTCTGATGCTTACAGAGAAAAATCTTGCTGACACACAGAGCTCAACTGGTGCACTCGCTCATAGGTGCACTTGCACGATACTCATGCTCGATTTGCAACACAAAGAGTGGTGGCACTCCTGTCAAAGTGTTGTCTGCGCTTTCTGAAGGACAGACTAAAGGATCCTTAGATCCCTTTGAATCCTGCAAGAGCAAAAGTCTGAGGATCTCAATGAGACATCTTTTGTTAGTGAGGTACCTCAAGAACAGAAGAGACCTTCATGACAAACCAAACAGCGGATCAGCATTTCAGGACAACGCAAGCTCTTTTTCAACTTCTGTGGCACTCTGTACCATTGCTACAACTGTTCCCTGCCTTCTTCTGATCCATTTTTAAATTAGGATATAAGGAAATATATTTGACAGTCTAAGGCAATGTATCGTAGCAAGAACCACTCCTGCTGTAGAAGAGGAGGTTCACATGACGGTCTGTAACACCAACAACACAAGCCTGCAGGGAGAAAAGGACACATGCTTCTTTCCCTTCCTTCTGCATTGCACAATCTTCTTGAGGTTTATCAAAGGTATTCCTCTGCAAGCCAGAAGAAATCTGAGACACAGTCATTTAGAAAGGAAGTCAGATGGCTTCCTTGATTTTCTTCAGATTTCAAAGCAGTTGGTCAAACTCACAAGTGTATTTGCAGGCCCTTGCAAGGTTGGCAGCAATGAGCCTTCAAAACACAAACCAAGAAGTCCTACTGATGCCCTCTAGATCATATTTTCTGTAAGGAAAGCAAGAAGAGAGCACGTGTTTTACTCCCTGATATGTAACAGCAAGCTTGCTCCATCCTGCTGCAGCGCTCACCCTTCAACGTTCACTTGCACTGTTGCAGTGTATGAGATGTCCAGGCAAGTATGTACAGAAAAATTCCACTGTTTTGCTGCAACAGCTTAGTTGCCACTTCCAGGTGCCCATTTTGTCTCCATTTAAGTCAGTAACTTCAGCAAGGATTGTCAGAAGAAATGTTTCAGTTATTTTAGCGCACAGCCCAGTTACCTCTGCTTGTTACCCTTACTGGTAGAAAAGCACGTGCCACAGTTTGCCTGATATTTCCCTTTTAACGAGGTAAACCAATTTTAATTCCACGTGTTTACTACCAGTTGCCAAAGACAGAAAAGCTGTTACAAGGCTTAAAGAAATCCAGAAAAATTCTGTGGCATGCACCTTGCCCAGCCATGTTATACATGCATAGATGGCTGACTCCAAGATGCTTTAAATAGGTCAAGGAAACTGCATCCTGGGCTCTCCCAACTACAACAGAAATTCAGACATTCACATCCAAGACAGACAACCAATATTTGCTCAGATGAATACCATCCTCTGTATTCCCTTCAGACTTTCTGCAGAAACTGCGTCCCTGCAGCACCTTCCCACCTCCCTCCCCACAGCACCATGCCTAAAATATTTCAGGTGGCTGTAGAAATTCAGAGGCAACTTGACTTATCAGGCATGTCTGCTAGCCTAATTAGCAAATGCATTCCTGAACTAAAAGTTAGGCAGTACTACTTGATATACTGGACTTCTACAGGGAAGCTTATTAAGCTTAAAGATCAGACCCTAATGTTTTGGTTTATGACACACTTAGAAGGAAAGAGCCTGAACTTTATACTGATTTCCCCCCAAAGAGGCAAAATTCAAGTCGTACTGCTGGGTAGAAGCCAAGTCCTCTCTCCCTATGCACACACTTCAAGCAGCTAATTAGGTATCTGAATAAACTTGACCTTTCCTTGGATCACTGGGTATGCACAACATGAAATGTCTTTGAAAGATACTTTGAGTAACTGTCACTGTTTCATCATTAAATCAGTTTTAAAATGCTATGTCATTAGAAATAAAAATGTGTATTTTTTGCTTTAATGCATTCCATGCATTCCCCTTTTCCATCTTCAAGGTTTTTGTTTCAACACAAGGGAATGAACTCCCAATTTCTAGTCAGTTCTTTCTTGACGCCAAAGATGACTGGGGTGTACAATGTAAATTACCTTCCTACAAGCCAGAAACATTGGGACTAACAGGTTTTAAGCACTTCAAGAAGTGGATCCTTCCAACTGCAGTTACCAGCACTAGCTCTCCATCCGCTGCACAGACACTGCCTTAACTGTGCTTGCAGCACAGCTGAATTTGACAGCAGAAGCTGATGAACCCCACTCTCTGCACGCCACATGGGACAAAACAGCTGTTTAGGTTTACCAGGGATTTGCAGCCATCATTTTCCTTTTTTTTTTTCATTTCTACACAACTGGCTGAAGTTAACACCAGCCACATTAAGTTACATGCTACTACTGACCACCTGGTAAAGCAGTGTGCCATTGAACAAGCCAGAATGCACAAATACAAATTAGGGTTTTAAACTTAGCATTTCTATTAGAAAACAGGATAAACTCTTCTTTCCTCTTCCTTTCACTGCAAATCTCAGGTTTTTAGATCACCTGGTCTACAACAATAACAGAGAAAGGTTTAATAAGACAGAACCCTTACCAAGATGAAAGGCCTCAGTCTTTCAATGGATCAGTACTGTTTCACTGAAATGCAGGTCTTCCGTAAGGACCTTCCTTTGTAAGGATCTTTACGAGGACTGGAGCCGTAGCGTTGACTGTTGCCAACACTGTGGCCACCATACCTCATCGTTACCCACGACCACACCACAAAGCAGAGAGCTGTCTCTGAAAATGTCAGTGAAATTTTCCTGTCATCATTTTAAAAAGGCAAGTCTAGGAGCTTGACCCTGAGCATATCATAACACCAAGTAAACTGTTGGAAATGCAGCTGAAACGGTGAGAAATGGACCCTCTTGACAGTACTACTGAAATGTGTACGAAACACAGTCTCAAGGATCTTCTTGGAATTGCAAGAATAGTAAGAGATGTATTTCTCTCTTCCTTGTTGTAGCATGACAGAGAGCAGGTCCCTGACAAAATCCTGACAAGGTAGTAATGGTAATATCCCCTCTCCCAGTAACATCACCAAGCAAACAGTGTGATATATATGTCCAGCAACTATAGCTAAGAAATTTCAGCCTCACTCTGACAAAAGGTCCACAGAGCTATTTGCCAACCCGTAGCAAAACCTGAAGATATTACCAATTTATTCCAACAACTAGAGGCAGGCTGCTTTTACAACATATTAAACATATATATCACAATCTAACTGCATAAGCACTGGAGATCTTAGCAAGAAAAGGCAGCTTCAGCCTGCAGCACTACACCCAACTATGAAGTAGTAAGTCCATGTAACAGACTCTTCCTGCCCCCACTGATGGTCCAAAGTCTGATGAACCCAATGTCAACAAATGCCAGCAATGCACGTGGCAGCCCAAACTTGACTTTCGTGGCCAGAGTGCTGCTACCGGCCGCGCA